GCCAAGCCTTTAAAACATGGTCCAACACTGCATCATTTCAGATCTGAGCTAGGCACTGCCCTGCTGTCTTTCTAAGTTTTCAGATGGAGAAGGCAAATCTCCATTTTTGTAGCTTCCTCTTTGCCAGAACACTGCTGTGACACAAAAGATGCTAAGTATACAAGCAGGATGTCTACTTGTATCTAACACCATGGCTGGGTAAAGCCTCGGGCTCTGTAATCTAAATGTTCCCCACCCTAGGTCAGTAACACTACTTCATGTAACTGCATGTAGTGCAGAGATGAGTGATCAGAAGGAGGAATGGTCTGGAAACAGATTCACACTCACAAAGAAAAACAACCAGCGAGTGTACTAAGTGGGCAACGAGCAGAGACAAAGTACTCAACTCTGTTTCCAAGAATTAAGACTGACTCGGAGATGTACGTTCTACACATCTGCGTCATCAGTCTTCCACCTTGGAAGTAATCAGCACAAGACGAGGGTACAATCTTCTCCGAGCCCCTCTCCTCTCCTCTCTCTGCCCCTGTGCCTCTGCTGCAAACACTGACACACGGCACTGCAGTCACAACTCTCGGGTCTATGTGTACTGTGACCTTCTTGGAGGCAAGCACAATACCCACTGGCCTTCTACAACCTTAGCGGGACTTCGAGAAACATGGAATACACAAATAAGTAAACAACATTTACTCATTTTTAAAGCTGGAAACTATCCAGGTATGAGGGCGTCCCAAAAGAGTCAATTTTTAAATTTTAACAAAGAAGCAGATCCTGTTCTTGAAGTTATTTTCCACTTTAGATCCTCTTCCTCCCCGTTGGCCGAGGTACGAGGCTCACTCAATGGTAAATTCCTTCCTGGCCTGTGCTCCATCTTCTGTGCGAAAAGACAGGAGTAGCCTGACAGCCCAGTGGGAAACAGCATGTATATCTGGGGACATGACTCAGTTCTGTCCTCAAAACACCTTCTCAAGAAAAAACAAGTCATCGTGAAAGTGGTCACCAATCACATTGCAATTACCAAGGCTTCAGGAGCCTGAGAGCAATGGTGAAGATACTATGACCTAAGAAAGAAAAGATAAAGTAAAATTCCACAAGCCACGTGGAAGAGCCTTACTCTGTGTCCCCAGCACACGCGCCATAACCCACTTCAGTGTGTGAAATGTTTTCATCGACTGCTTGAATTAGAATCTCAGCTCACGCTTTGACTAAGTGCACTGTCACAGAAGATGACACACAAGCAGCACAGCCCTTGTTAAAAGACGTCTAATTATAGAACAAGTATCTCATTACAGAACATTTTATTTGAAGATTCAATTCATTCATCTGGTACTAGAAATGGAACCGAGGGCCTTCACACTGAGCTACATCCTTGGATCTTGTTTTTGTTTTTTATTTTGTTTTTGTTTTGAGTAAGAGTCTCAGTCAGCCTCGGAGTTGCCCATGCTGGCCTTGAACTTAGAATTCTCCTGCCTCAGCCTCCCAAGCCACTTGGATTACAGGTGTGCACCACCTTACCCAGAGTTAGATTTTATTCTTCATTTTATGTTAGGTAAAATGGTCTATGTGAAATCAATTTTTAGGCCCTTCAAAGTCATGTAATTTACCACCCGGGTAGTGTTGTTGCCAAGTGCTTAATTGCTCTAGAAATACTTATGTCAGTTACTAGCATGATCTAGCTATTTGATGTGGATCACCTTCCTCGGTCTCCGTAAGTAGTGAGCCTGACAGCATCTGTCTCACAGCTGCTTAGCAAGGTTACATGGAACAGAGCACAGAAAGCGGTGCTCACACTGGCACACCGTAGAGCTTGAACAATGTCTGCCACTGCTGCTGCCACCGCTCCAACATTAGCTGCGCGTTTCTGGTTAACTCGCACTTCCCCGACCCAGTGTAAGAACCCTAACAGAGACTCAGAACACCCATCCACTGATTTTTCTGGAAGTTCTCTTTAAAGACAGGAAATGAGGAAGAGAAGGGAAAGGAATGAAGAGGATAGAGGAAAGAACAAGTAGGAGAAAAGGCAGAAAGGGGGAAAACTGAAATAGGATAATGTCACCCAGTCTTTGAGACAGCAGGAGCTCAGAAAACAGAAAATCAGCTGTATTTGCAAATAATTTCTGTGGATAGGGACTGCCAGGCACAGAACTTAAAATTTTTGTCTGAAGAAGTCAACACACATTCATCTCCAAGAACTCAGAGCCAAACTCTGTCACAATGACTTCAAGTTCAGAGAGCAAAATCTACACAGGATTTCTTTTAAAAATTGTCTCTCAACCTCCATTTCTTTAGTTCCTCCCTCTTGGAAAATACGTAATTTAAATTTTATGGGAAAAATTTCCCACCAACTTGAAGCACAACCTACCATCGCTGTGAGTCACCAAAACACATTTGCATCTTAGGGGTGTGTGCTTGTGTTTTACTTTCCCCATTCCCTTCGAGAGCGTCCGTTATGGCTCATCTAATTATAGAACAGCAGTAGCATTAATGTACAATAATGATTTGGAAACTTGTTTTTGGTAACTATATTCAGCCAAATTACAGCATAAATAAACCTTGTAAGAACTCCTGCAAGATACTAGAAAACGTATAAGAACACACAATTTTAAGGGATGACAGAAAATGTCAGTTGGTCGCCCCATATCTGCTCTTGCCCTGACCCCAGGCGCCTCTAGAGGAAGCCTAGGATTCATTTGACTTTTTTCTTTAAAAAAAAAAGTATTTGCAGTCAGCTCCTACTCAAGGGGATATAAAATCTGACCTACTTGCCCCTACTACTTCAAATTCACCTCTTTCTAGTCAATCTATACACATCTATTGGCTGATTTTTCTTTTCGTTTCATTTCTGATTACTTTTTGTTTTCCCTCTAAATTCACTCAATCTAGAATCATGGATACCGAGATGACTACAGATCAAAACAGTAACTGGTTGCACATACTGAGAAGGTGGTTCTGTAATTTGCAGGATGGCCACTGTTTAAATATTTCCTACAAAGAGGACGCTCTGCTGATAAATGTCAGTGATGATCAGAAAAAGTTTAAATATCACAACATCAACAATCCATTTTCTCTGAATGTTGACTGTGACCAGATCCTCTGTCAAGTAGCAACTCAATTAATATTCACACTGAAAATATTAGGACAGCATCATTGTGTCCATTTCACTGTGAAAAAAGCAAGGACCACAAGAAATATGCAACTTGCCTGAAGACACACACTGTTAATTGACAGAGTTATAACAAAAATGCCTGGGTTTCAAGCATCTAAGTACAAGTCTCCAGGCCTCTTTTACAGGCCCTAACTTCAAGCTCTGTTGACCCTTGTCACTAGGACAGCCCTTTGAATATCTGAAAACCATCCATGCAGCATTGGCACTGTGCTGAGCTTCCCCCACCTTCCTCAGAAGAATGGAAAAGGGTCTGTGAATTTATTAAGCTCAGATCCCTAGAGATGGAGAGCGTAAGAGTAAAACCAAGGGAAAACTGGAATAATCCCATGAGCTCTGTATGCTTTTAGCTTCTTGTTTTGATCATCAATTTCAGAAGTCACATCCCTAAGCAGTATACTGTCAGTTCTGCTGTTAGTAACTCCTCTCCTGTATGGTCTCAATGGTAAAAACTGTTCTAGCAGTGTTGAGGCATGTGGAAGCTTCTATTGTCGATCTCAAGCTGGTTAAACAAACAACCCTTCATCTGCGACCTGGGCAGTTGTCATATGCATGGCCAAAGACTCCATCATCGGACCATGCTACCATGCATCCAACAGAGCCCATAGTCTGACTATGGATGTGTAGGCCATTCGTTGCTTAACCTTGCCTTGCCTCTAACAAACTTCAAACCATCCTGTTTCTTTATCCCACACATAAACCATAAACCTAATCATAAACCAAGCATAAACCACAAACCACACATAAACTATAAATCACATCCTAAAATTGGGATTTGGGGATCCCATTTCTTTACTATCCATCTTGTGAATAAACTCTTTTCCAAAATTCACTGTTCAGTGCTGAGCATCCTGTGCAGCAGCAGAATGGGCCTTACTGGGTGACAAGAGTGAGAAGGGAAAGCTAGGAAACCCATCTCCCAGCAACACAAGGTCCCACACTTCCTGCCACGCCGCCTCTTCATCTCTGTTCTCTAGCCCCATGAGCTGACATCACAGAGCCATGGTCTACCAGGAACCACCTTGTCTATCCTGCTGCAGACATTCGGACCGGCAGGCAGTGAATGCCCTTCTACAGGAGCACAGCAGAGGGGCCGCCAGGACAATCCGCCAGTTGCTGTCTATTCAGTGTTTACTATATATGCGCTAAGCTCAAATGCTCAGCCCTTTACTTTGCCTGGAGAATTTCTACTCCACAAATTTAAAAACTAAATCCAGATAGTGATTTTTAAAAATCTCAAATTTCTGAAACTAACTTTAGAAGCAATCTTTTTTTTTTTTTAAAGCAATGGTCCTGCAGCAAACAGCTGGAAAAACCTTTCCCAAGCACACACAGATAAGGGTAGCATTTAATCAGTGACCTCTTTCTACTTTCCTTCAGTTAATGACACTGTCTACATGGAAAGTGCCATAAAGGAAAGGACTACATATTTTGGGCCTTAGTGTTTTTATATTATGTTTGTGTATTTATGAAATACCTGCTGAATTTTGGATACTATACCGAGTGCAATAAGAACAAAAAAGTGTTACACAGTAGGTCTGTTCTTGAGTAGCTTGGAAGACACATTGCACTCACGTGACATGTACCAGATGCCTCTGGGGCACAGAGAAAGTGGCATGCCAACGAGCAGCAGCCAAGAGCTGACCTGCAAGGATGAGGCACCTGTGCAACCTGAGAGGTGAGAAGGGAGGCTTTCCCGAGCCCAGGGCCAGAGAGGGGTCGGGGCACAGAGGAGAGAGGACAGCGCCACCGCCCCTAGAGGAGTGGGGCCTGTCAGTGAGATGCTCGGAAAGGCAGGGTGCATCTAAACACCTGGAAATAAAACACAGGACTCTTCTACCTGAATTGACCAGCTGCTGTTCCATGACTCCACAGCCAAGAACTTCCAGCCATTCTCCTTGGAAGTGGATCTCCATCTCGAAGGAAGGATGAGTGAAAGGAAAGTAGCAGTCCACCCATCGAATCTCCAGCCCTGCAGAGGTTCCAAGAAAAAACAAAGCATTACAAGTCTACACTTCCTTGTGATCAAGTTTGCCCTTTGGCTAATGACACCAATTACTACAATCTGAGTAAAATAAATAGCAAACAAACTAATTTGCAACATGTTAGGGTGAGGCAATAAATCTTAAAACTTGTGAAAAACTAGGCATGTCTTTCCCAATTTGAAAAACACTTTGTGTAGTTCCAGGACCCTCTAAAACCAAATCAATCACCTGTCAATTCCCCAGAACCACCTGACAGCAGAAAAAATTAGGCCAAGATCAGGAGATGGGAGGTAATCCGGTTAGTTTCTATAAATGTCAATGGAACCATTTCAGTTTCCAAAAAGAAAAACCCTATATTTTTCTTTTTCTTTTTTGGGGGGGGGTACTGGGGATCAAACTTGGGTCCTTGTGCTTGTGAGGCAGGCAGTGGAACCACTGAGCTAAATCCCCAGCCCCACCGCTATATTCTTCTATACCAAATTTACATATCAACTGATAAAAGAAAAACTCTGAGTTTTTGGGTTTTGGGGGGGGGTACTGGGGATCAAACTTGGGTCCTTGTGCTTGTGAGGCAGGCAGTGGAACCACTGAGCTAAATCCCCAGCCCCACCGCTATATTCTTCTATACCAAATTTACATATCAACTGATAAAAGAAAAACTCTGAGACATCTCAGGTTTAATTATAAGGGCCAAAGGATGGACAGAGAAGAGATAAGAGAAGTTAATTAACAGATGCAGGAGCCCGGCATGGTGGTGCAGGCCTGTAAATCCAGCACTCAGGAGGCTGAGGCAGGAGGATTCCTGTGAGTTCGAGACCAGCCTGGCCTATATAGTGAGTTCCAGGTCAGTCTCAACTACCTGTCTCAAAAAACCAAAAATTAAAAAAAAAAAAAATTAACAGATGCAGGAAAATAAAAAAGACAATCACCTTTCTAAAGCCCATCACAGCCTACCACCTGGGTTTCCTGGGTGACCTGCAGGCCTAGGAACTTTCTGGAAGGTAAACATCCACTCAACCTGTCTGAGCAACAAGTACAGCATTTATCTCTCTTTATGAACTGCACTGCTATCCCAAAGCATTCCCTGCATGGTGTAACCATAACTGCGCCTCTCTTATCTACAGCTAAACTGATCTATGACTTCTTTCCAACAGTCTTAACTCTAGTCATGTGGACCTATTTCCCACTGCTACCTAGCACTGCTGATTGGTAGTTTTCAGGACTTGCCCCGGACTTCGTCCTTGTCTGGGTAGCACCTACAATGGCTTGGTGAACCCTCTGACTCAGAGATCCCTCTGGCCTCCAGGGTTTTGGTTTTACACAATCATAGGACTAGTTTAAGAAACACTGATCAACTTTCCCTCAGGTGAATATGTTTTAATTTTTTAAAAACTGCTTATAAGAGATGGAAAAAATATTATATTTTTAATACAGTAAGATCTATTTGCCAGATTAAGGAAAACAATTTAAAAGTAAAACATTTTTCCTACAGATGAATGACAAATACACGTAAGTCTAAAGAAACATGAAAAGTCACACTAAATGGCAGAACAGATTTTCAATAAGCAATCAGAAATACGGCACATTTGACATGATCATCATCGTCGTCCTCGTCCTCGTCGTCGTCGTCGTCGTCAGCGGAAAAGACAAGCAAACCCTAAGCAGAGAAAGCTGACATGGAGCAGGGTCCCTGACAGAGGAGAGCGAGATGAGATGAGTTGCCTTGAGCTGGAGACGCCGTGGGAAAGGCAGAGCGCATGCGTCCCAGGCATCACCGGCACTTGCCCCTCTGGGGACGGCTGTGCACTTCTTTCCAGGCCTGGCTGCAGAACTGATTCTCCATGACAACATGCCCCCTTGTGAATTTAAAGTACTTTACGAGCTCACTCAAGACTATCTATGTGTATTTTAAATCTTGCGAAAATCAGAATGTAAAATGAGTAAAAATAACAAAACGCAAATTAGAAATAAAGGGTAAATTAAAAGATAATAGGAAACAGGGTGAGGAGTCTTCCTCAAATGGAAAGGGGATCAAGAGACAGAGGGAGGGGAAAGGGATGAAAAGGGAATTGAGATGAGTTACTTCCAGGTACCAGCTCCACACAAGGAAAGGAAACATGTACTGTAAAAATGCACTAATAAAAAATTTTTAGAAGTTAATAAAACCAAAACATTCTCTATAATCCCATTCACAGATACAGAAAATCTTTGTTATAGAAGTCAAGGGTCCTGCCCCAAGTCACCAGCAGATGACTGCAACAAACCCTGGTTTGCTCAACTCTAAAACCCTGACCTTTGCAACTAAAAAGCAATTCCCTAGCCCAGTGTGGTAGCACACACCTGGAATCTCAGCACTCTGAGAGGCTGAGGCAGGGGGATCACAAATTCAAGCACAATGTGGGCAACTTGGCAACTTAGGGAGTCTTTGTTTCAAAATAAAAGACAGAAAGGGCTGTTCCATTGTTCAGTGCAATGGTTCAATCCCCAGCAGTGGAATAATGACAATAATTCCTAGCCTATCCATCAAAAATGGGATGAGAACAAAATTATGAGACATAGGACCTTCCCTGTACCCCCAAATTCCAAAGAAGAACGTAGATCTTCCTCTCTTCTATTTTAGCTGCATTTATTTTCTTGGTTACCTGCTGTCTATGGCAAGTGTCAGTCAAGTGATTGTTATGTATAACAGCAATACATATCTCCCCCTATTTTATACGTGGCATAGAAGGCAGACACGAAGCTTTACATGGGGAAATGTGCAATCTGAGAAATGGTAACAAATGGAGCTGTGAAATGTCACCCCTGTCATGGTAATGAGCAGACGCATCACCCCTACAACTTCCTGTGCCTCTGCCTATCCCCCCACTCCCCCACCGACTATAGCCCCAGCCTTTTCTCCTGGCCCTCCACATTCCCAAGTACCCCAGATCTGATGCTACAGCTGAGTTGGCATTCCCCTGGATGTTATAAGGATGAAATCACACAGAATGCACTCTCATCTGGCTTCGTTCACTCAGTATAATTACTGTAAGATTCATCCATGGTCTTACGCACAACAACAGCTTAATGCTTGCTGCTGAGTAGATTTCACCAACGCCCTTTCTAGCAGGTTGGGGAGAGGAGAGCTGGTCCCCTGGAGGGCCATTAGGGAAATGTCCCCAAGTTGCCCAAGAAGTCCAGCCTTGTCTGTGTGAAGCTCACATGATCAAGCAGCTGCTTATTACAGCCAAATCTGAGAAGATGGCATCTGCATACCTGTGTACTTGCCCTTCTTTAGGACCTACAATTCCCTATCAGTATTTTTATAAAAAGCAGCAAAGATGAATGACCCTGCTGGCAAAGAGAAATATATGAGGCCTTGGGACTTAAAATTGAACCCAGGCAGACTTGCAGACAAAATCACTTCCGCCATCCTTTAACTTCTACTAGGTAAGTACAAATCATTTTATGAAAGCAGTTTAGAAAAATAAATTTTGTGTACCTGGCTTTTTTTATTCTTGGCTTGAATCTTACCAAAAACAGCAACAGAGTAAGGGCTAGCATCACAATTTCACCTCACACAATTAAATACTACCCAAGCGCCTGGAACACAAAAGGGGAAGTCTGCACAAGTTAATTTGCTGAGTGAACCTTTTTAAAAACTCTCTGGACTCGCTATAGAGAGTCTAGTTTATATAGTTTTATATCTCACAACTATAATAGCTTAGGTTTCCCTAATGTGAGACAAAGAATTTTCAAGATGTGTAGAAGCATTCAAAAGAATCATCTATTGGTTAAAGTCATTCCATGATCGAGGTACATCAGCAAGTAAGCGCCTACTGCAGGCCCCCCAGAGACCCAGGCCTCCGGACAGAGCCCCTGTTTACTGGCACTCATCGGGTTGGGGCTGATGGTGCCAGCCCCGCACAAGAATGGAACAACACGGTGGTGTAAGGTCACTTCTCTCCGGTAACCTTTCACTAAAGGCTTCCAGTTTATTGCTTCCATAATTAAAAACATGTAACTTTGATTTGCTTTGTAATACTCAACAAATTCTGAAAATAAAATGGCAGTACATTGCACTGACCCTTGCTCTTGGGGGCAGAAGACCTCAACCACCATGGCCCTTAGCTCCTTCCCGCTCAGTCACCCTCCAGCTGTTTCTGTGAGTGGCAATGAAAGTAACTGCTCCTGCTGAAAGCTAACCCCCCCCCCGCAAAGCATGAGAAGGCAAAGAAGGTAAACGTCTTCCAGAAGCCACAAAGGTGACAAATATGAATGACCTGAACAGCACAGCCCATTGATAACACAAAAACTAAAACGGAAAACAGATAGGCAGATGTTGTGACTATGAGAATGAGCCACTTTCAATCCTTTTACTCCCTCGGAGCCTTTGCCAAGTTTCTTTTTAAAATCAATACAACCCTGCAAAGAAGCCAAATCTACACACCACTATTTACTCTTCTCCTCTACGTTCTTCAATTATCAGTTTTTCCTACGTTACAAAAAGAGACAAAAAACCCAAATCTGCCAAACTTATTTTTGAGCAGCCTCTGGCTCTACTTCAAACATAGACAGTAATTCTTTGAAAGTAACGTATATTAGCTAATGTATATTACCAAAATACCATATTCTTTTATATATTCTAACAACTTAAATATCAGTTACACTGACAAATGAACACTGTTTTCTTTTAAATCACTGATACTAGAACTATTTTTTAGATATTTTGATATTAGCCTGAAAATATATTTGTTCTTATTTTTTTGCCCCATAACCTCAAAATTATTGCAAAATTATATCTGGTTGAAAACACATCTTGACTTGCTTTTTATAATAAAAAAATAACTAGCTCAAAATTATGACATATTTCACATGTCAAGCAACAGTATTCATCAAAAACATCCACTAAAAATACCACACATTTTGTATACATTAATAGAGGGAAATTTTTAATAACCATGTCCAAGATATATGAATCTATTATTCATTAGAATAACCTCTTACT